ATATAGTTTCTTTTTAGCCATGACCATGATTAAGACATTGATTGATTCAAATCAAACACAACTCAATCTGTTGCCAATCAAAGTCGATGTGGGGAGGAATTCCATATCCTCTTATCCCGCATATGGTTCATACATATATTAATACCCGTGCAGCATCAGCCTGCTGGCATCCATCCCGAGGGCCAGTCAAATGACGGTCACTCGGCGACGACAGTTGGGCGATTGAACACTTGGCCATGTGCAATCATGGCCAGCTGATGGCCTCGCAGTCGTTGTCGCTGCTGATTAATTTATGCCAATATGCAATTTTCACACCAACGGGCAGGGCCAGTGCAATGACAGCTCAAGCGCATAATTGCACGGGTCTGGGGCTTATTTATGGCAGCGACTATGGCCGGCCAGGCAGCCAGGCAGGCTCTCCTGGCCCCAGGGGCAAATTAAGAGCTCCAGTATTGAGTTTTGGGGCGGGGGAAAAGGTCACCCAGTCAGCCTTATGGAAAATGGCTTCGAGCTGAGGTCATAAATTGAGCTGTCAGCTGGCAAATAGGTTTTAATCATTTTATTAAAATTGCGAGGCATTTAATTGCCCAAAGGATCTGCTGGGATAAGCAGAATAATCTCGCCTCTGCCTTAAAGCCAGCAGAATTGAGGTCATCAGGAAATTTATGCTAAACATGTCAAGGCTTCACCATGGCTCTGGGCGTGGCAAGTGCAACCAACGCCCCTATCTGCAGCACACATGTCCGTTTTTGTGGGGTTTAGCAAAAACGGAATTCCAGTTTCCGCCACTTGCATTTGATTAGGAGGAAGAGGGGGGAAAGAATAGCCAAAATCATAGCATACTTTTCAGAAAGTGCTCTCAGCTCTGCACTTCTCAACAGGATGGCTAGCGGGAAATATTCTTTAAGCTAATAAAATGAATTGGTTGTCTAGGTAAAATGTTTTCCTTATTTCAAAAAATTTAAAACAAAAATCTAAAATAGGGATAACAGCAAATTTCGATATATAAATTCTGTCCCGATATTTAAACCAATAATTTAATGTTGCGATATATAAGGAATATATCGATATTCTGTTTTATATATTTTACATATTAAATATTTTAATTTTAAAGTGTAATTCAATGTCAGATGTTACTATATTCCCATTCTTTCCAGTTTTGGTCTCAGTCTCATCCCTGACCATGTTCCTGTTCCCCATTTTTCCACTATTCCTCTACCTTTTTTTCGGGGCTGTCAAAACGTTCGCCCGCCTGTCAACCACAAGACACAACACAAAAAGCATTGGACAATTTGCTCGGCGCCGGATTAGATTGCTCTGGTGTGATCTTTTACTTATATGGGGGGTATATGGGGTGGACGCACGATATGGGGTGGCAATCAACGTCAGGCGTGCGTCAGAGTTGCCTGCACGCCTGATGGATTGCCAGGGTTGCCTGGACAGTCTAATAAGCAAAACACATTTTTGTATCGAGGCTCTGCCGCTTAAAGAGCCGTGAAAATTCGCTTTTGCTTGTTATATTTGCTAGTTATTTCCCTGCGGGCCATTCTCTGCCTCTGTGTGTGCCTGTGCTTGTGTTCGCCTTGACAAATGATGTTTGAAGGCAAAGTTAACTGGGCCGGCGTGTCGCTGGCCATTTTGCGGTTGCCACTGCCGCTCTAGAGAGCGGGAAAAAAAAGTAAAATTTATATACAAATTTGAAATAATGCTGTGGGCGGCTTATACCTTTTCTTTTCCTTTCTGTTTTTAGCTTTCAACAAAACTCTTTTACTTTTACTTTATTTCTGTATTTTCTCTTTTAGGTCACCGCATAATAAATAACTGCGGATGTTCTTTTCCCTTTTTTCTGATTCAACAGTGTTCCGTATAATTTATGCAGGTTAAATTTGCAAATTTTTTCTCCAGGAACGAGCCCGTGTTTAAGGGCAATTATGGGGCCTGTCAAATGTATATTTCGACAATTGCCGGGACCAAGCTTTTGGTCGCCGGGGCAAGCTTTTGTTGAAGAAAAAGGAAGACGAGCTTTTTTCCCCGACTTTCCCCGTTCATCCTTCGCATTTTGTTGTCTTTTCATTAGGACAAAAGGTAAATGTCCTTGGCCCCCTTGGCGTCCTTCAATTTGCCTTGCACTTGAATTCCCTGCAAGTGTGTGTGTGCGTGTGCCAGTCTGGGTTTTTTGTCCGTTTCATGTCTTGGCCATAAATTGTAACTAACGTCTCAGGATAGGAAGGATTCAGCGAGATGGTTTAATGCATATTTATACCACCTAAATGGCTAATGAGCAAAACGTGCCACACATGCAGCACCAACATTTTTGAGGCATGAATATGCGAAAACACGAAGAAAATACATTAATTAAATTTTCGGCAACGAACCTCCGAACTCCACCTACTCGCGTTGGTCCTAACGGAAACTCTAAAAGGCGCCAGCGCCAAGGGTGTAACTTTTACTTACAAGCGGTGTCGGAAAATCAGCCGGGGAAAAAGAGAAAAAAGCCGAGGGACCTATAAAGAAAATCATGCCAGGCCATGTGTGTCTGGATTCTGATTGAGAATTACGCGAATGAAACAAAAGTCGGACCAAAAAACGAGTGTGAGAAAACGTGAGAGCCGGGATACTCGCCTGCATTATTTATAAGAATAAAAACCAAATAATGAAGCCTCATAAAAATGCCAGGGCTCAAGCCATATTGCGGATATTACAAACAAAAGATAATAATATAATGAGCAATAAGCCAAAGGCAAATAATAAAGGCCAGCTGCAGAAAAAAGCTCCCAAGACCCGAAGACCGCAGCACAGAATTCAATTATGTGCGATAAACAGAAGTCATTAAATATTAAAGTGCTAATGGAAAAGGAATCGACGGCGGCCATACAAAAGATGATGCTTTTCCCGGGAAAATAAACCAGCTCAAAGGAAACGTAATGAGCGGAGAACAAAGAGTGAAGGGTCAAGGTGGAGACCAGACTCTGCCCCCAAAATGATGGCCGAGACATAAGGAGAAGGTGAAGTGAAATGGGGCCAGGGAAATGCGGAAAAGCTGTGCAAATACTAAACGGAAAACAGAGAGAAACGGGGTTCAGACTACAGGTACAAGGATACACTTGGAAAAACGATATAAGATAGGTACAGAACACTTTACTTTATTGCTTTTGAGGTGAAAATAGTTTTTCGATCTTATAGTAAATTCTTGAAGAAATGTTATAAGATATAGAAACATTATGTTCATTATTTAGTATTCATTATAAATTTCTATGATATAAAAAGGTAAAATATAATTAATACAAATAAATTTCTTTGTTTTCAAATTATAATTGTAAAAAGGCCACTGACATATCGTTTTATATATCTGGATTTTAATTTTTGATTAATTTTTGTGTACTAAATTTTCTTCATGTGTACTTTCACCTTTATTGTAACCACATGGCGCCAACCGTTTACTTCATATGCATATTTCTGCGACCGGTTGGAAATTTTACAGTATTTTGATTTGTTGTATATTGTGTGTTGGTCTGAGCTTAATTTTATTTTCCCCAACTTGTAATATAATGCATGCATAATGTGGAGAAGAATCCACATCGGTTTGGGGCTAATTTTACGCTCCTCTAATTCCGCATTATGAGATTATTATTATTATGTTCCGGTTTTGGGAGGGGCTGTGGGGTCTCTGCAAGAAAACAGCTGCCGGTCCTTGTGTATTTTGGGGGTTTGCTTAGCAAATAATATATATCATTTCACCTTGTTTTTCTTGGTCATTACATTTTGGATGATAAGGGTTTCCATGCGAGATGACAAAATATGTAGAATTAGACTTATTACCTATTGGCAACGAAACAGGACAATGCAATGCGTGATTTTAGCATTAAAAATGGAAATCAATGATTTTAGCAGCCACAAAATAAAGTGCTGATTTAGCCAGGGTGCCAAACAAATAAAACTAATAATTATTGGAAGCTAGGAATTAATTTATTAATGAAATATGCATATTAATTACAATAAAAACTTTTTTTCTGCACAATTTTACATTTTTATGTAACTTAGAACTTCATTTTGATTTCTTTTCTATTTAAGAAATTAATTTAAATTTTTGGAAATATACTTTTTTTATTTAAACCTTACAAAATGCTTAACAATTCAGTTAAAAAAAAATATATTAATATTCCAAAATATAGAATGAATTTAAAATGGCCTGCATCCCTGATCCGTCTGTCGAAACTGAAGAGAAAATTGAGAACGGAAGCAAACCGCGAATCCCAAAAACCAAAACCAAAACCAGATTTTAAATGCATGTAATTGTTATGTGTAGCAGAGGTAGAGGAGAGACAACAGAGCGCTGGGCAAACAAAATTTGCGTCACTTTTGTGGCTGCACCTGCGGCTGTCGCCGGCAGGTGTGTGCGCTCGCTTTATCCCCGCACTAAACAACTCCACTATGCGATGCACTTTCCAGCAGATAAATTATAAATAAAGCACATCGACATCAGCACGCGAAATGCTGTCATGATTTCCGTTGAACTCCACACACTCGCGCTGTGACCAGATTAAATATATCCCTTTTTTCGGGACTCTCGTCCCCCTACGCTGGGGATCCTTTATTTATGCCATGAATAAATGCAAATTTCCCAACGCCGCAGCAGATTTTGCAACATATGAAAAGGCAGGGGGGGAAATGGGATAGAGAGGCCACGCCAAAGGACTCCGCAGCGTGTCCTTTGCATAATAATAACTTGTAAATGTCATGTAGCGTAACCGTGTCCTCCGTCACAGCATAAAAAATCTAAATAAAATAAAAGATGGGGAGAGTGGTGGTGGTGGTGTTCCATCTGGGATCGTGTGCCGTATGCGAATTAGCATTTAATATGTGCCATAAGGCCAGGGGCATTAAAATTGCTAATACGCCCGAGTGTCTTCAAAGGGGAAATGGCCAGTCAAGAAAGTGAACCTTGCAGGGCAAGTGTAAAGTGCAGCAGGTGTAGAGGCTACTAATAAATACCAAAGAAATCAAGGCATAAGTCAAAATATATTTGAATCACTTCCGCCTCAGGACAGCTTCGAGAGAGAAAGAGGATCTCTATACCGAATCAGCTCCACCGATGTAGGGACAACACCGCACAGTAATAGCATTATCACACCAGCACCGTTGACCTGCAAGGATTTGAAATTTAAACATTTTTCATGGGCTTTGAAATAACAATCAATGACTCACCAGCTGCCAAAGACACAAGACCACTGAGTAAAATAGGCACCCACAAAAGACGTCCGTTCATTTTGATGGCAACTTAAGGTTTAGCCACAGACCCGTTCACACTTTTTTAAATCTTTTCAGAGCATTATGTAAATCTGTAACATTTTTAATTTTACACCGAAAATTACATATTTTTTAAAATGTCCATGAAATAGCGTGTTAATTTTAAGCTAAAAAATACCCACACCAAGACTAGGGGAATTAAAATAGCTAAGCACAAAAATTAAAGTTGCTGGACAGGTGTAAATTGCAGCAGGTTGAGAGGTTGATAATAATACTAAAGACATCAATGAGTAAGTTAAATATATATCCCCTCCCGCCTGTTTGCTTTTACCGCCAGAGAACCACGGCGATTGGTTTAACTTCTCAACCTTTGGCAAACCGATTAGACGCCACTAATTGACCGGAAACGAGAAAAATTGATTTATTTGCCGTGGCTCAAGGCCTTGAAGTGGCCATTATTGCGATAAGAGCCGGGCACCTAATCAATGGCAATTGATTGGCCGGAAAGCAATTTCCCTAAGCCTAAGCAATTTGTGAATTAAGCTAAAATATATATATAGACAAAAAGTAAACGATATTAAATTGGTTTTTGGAAAAAGTTGGGATATTACGTATACGTATTAGGTTAATCTGCTTCCTTAAGGAGTTGACTTAAGCAGTTAGAATTGTAATATTGTCCTTGAAATATTCTTGTTCTATAAATAAGATGCTAATAATAAAGAAAACAATGAAAATATTCTCGTTATTAATTACTTTTTGTCCATCGACTTTAATTTCTCATTTTGGGTTTTCATTAATTCGGAAATAAGAAGTGGTCTGTCAGAAACCATGACCACCCAATGGCATAAAGTGGGAAATTTGTGGGCCACTAACTGCTCTACTCACTTCCTCTCAAACCCCCTAGGATTCATTCGGACATTTTTGCATTGGCAAGCGGTTTTTCGCTCAAGGATGCCAAAGACAGCGAGCCACTTGTGTGCGATACTTTTGCAATAAAGACAGACACAAAATCTCTGAAAGGAAGAGGATGAGAATGCTGGGAGAAGGGGATACCGTGAGACGGACGTATATGGAGAGCCATTTGAAAACTATTACGCCCAGGAGATTCATTCGAGTAGTGCGGCATTTATAACTCAAATGTTGCCCGAGTAACAAAAAGCCTAAAAACTCGAGCGCAGCGGCAGAAGTTGAACATTGGCGAAGGACAACTAGCTAGCTAGGAGATAGTGATGAGCAGCTATTTGTGTTTTATTCTTGGAACTTAATATAAATAAATAAATGAAGGATAATGGCACACAACTTAATTTGTATTTGATAATAATATAAAATATAATACAATATTTAAATACATGTTTCTTACATCGCCTTCCCCATTTGTCCATTGGTCATCTCTGCAAAAGGGAACAAGAAAGTATGGCTGGAATATGAGGAAACTGTGGAGGCTTCCGAGGCAATGGCAACACACACGAAAAAGACATTCTCTGTTCTTGCTTTTTATTAGAATGTGTCCATAGAGACGTGGGCGCCAGCCATTGTCTGGCTGCCTTCGCCACGAATCTCCAGCGTTCTCTGTGTTCTAGTATATATATCCTATCCTATCCTACACAGATATATATTGTGCTTCTGTAGTTTGCTATACATTTCTTAGCACGTAGTTATCTGTGGCAGCAACGGGAACAACAATGCCACTTGAAAGAACAATAAAAAGTTTGCTGAAAACAGAAAAAACCTCAGATATACCCTTTCGCATATGAGGACAACTCCCTGTTCCGCAATAAAAAGAAGGTATATCAATGGAATAGGATATATGTGAGCAAGTTTCGTCATTAAGTTTAAACATTATTTAGTATTGCGATTGCTATCTGTTTATGAATTTTATTATATATTTTTGTATACTTTTATTGGGTAGCTGGTGTGGGTTTAATTCCTCTGAAATGGGCAAAGAAACAGTGCGGTTTTACTGACCCGATGCAACGTCATCTAGATTTATTGAGATACTATTATTATTTATATTTATAGTATTGCCTTGGACCAACATCAAGGCAGACAACATGGCAATAAGACCGATGAGGAACTTCATGGCTGCCGGATCCAGTGGGAAATGTGTTAAGAACTAGAAAGGACTCTACTTATAGGTTGGCAAAAGTAAAGCGAATAAGAATAGACCACTGAGTAAGCTATGTTTTTCCCTTAGTAAATGTGATCTTATTATTCGATTTACTTCTACATTTCGCCAAAATCCGACGATTTCGAATACGACCGTTGCACAGATTCTCGTTAGTATTTACATTGTTTTTAGCGCCTTGGACCAACATCAAGACAAACAACACAGCAACAAGACCAATGAGAAACTTCATGGCTACCAGTTCCAGAGAGAAATGAGTTTTAAACTAAAAAGACCTCTACTTATAGGTTGGCAAAAGTAAAGCGAATAAGAATAGCAAATTGTTGGCTACTCCCGAACAAAAGTTGACCTTTAAAGCAAAGCTAACTGCATTCTAATATATTGAAGTTTAAACTTACCATTTATATTTTAGTAAGCAGGTTATGTAAGACCCCTGAATATGCGTACTAAATAAAGGACAATATTTGTATTACGAGATGCCCTTGTTTGCGCCTGGTTCTAATCTCTGACCAACTGGCTAAATCGAACCGTCTGCTGATGCTAAAATCTAAAATAAATATGTATTTTTTATTGAGTTCAATACTTGTGGTCTTTTAGCATCCTCTCGTAAATAATTTAATTCCAAAAATAAACATTTTTTATTAAAATTCCATCTTATTTTATCAACCAATTTGAAATTCTCCCAAATTGCAAATTGCAGTCCCAAATTTAACTTTCCGATAAGAATAATAAAGACCTTTTTTTATTTACTGCATTTATTTACTGCATATATTTACTTGAATTTTTTATCCAAGGCTACTTAGGTTGCCAATTTGAATTTGATTTGTATTATCGTTAGAATCTTGCCCCTGGACCTGGAGCAAACCAACGAAGAAAAGTACAGCGACAACACCAGCAAGGAACTTCATGGCAGCCAGTTTGATTTGAAAAAAAATATAGAAAGAACCGAGAGTGGTTGCGACTTATATAGCGAGGCTTGCATAAGTGGAACCAATCTGCTTAACTATATATAATTAATAATTACCATGAAAAGCTGACCTTTGAACAGTCAGCAAAAAAAAAAAAACTATCACCAAGCTCGCAGTCATGAGCGAGACAGATTTTCATAAGCGTCGCAAAACGCATGTGATTTGTTGTTGCAACCTTGAGATCGCACTTGGGGCGCCTCTCTGACCCCATACATTGATCGCCAAAAACGAACAACGACCACCTGGGACGACTTTCTAGCAGAGCTTGCAAATAACTGTCGACGGGGTTTTTCCTGTGCTCTCGGTGCGAGCAAAACCGAAAAAGATCATACTCTCTCGCTCTCGTTCAGAGCAAGGGAGTTTTGCTGTCTTCATTTCGGCTTTTTGTTGAACGCTTTTCGTTGAGCTCTTTTTGCTTCGGCCTTTCAATGAGCCGTGCGTAAAGAGCGGGACGAGAAACGTTCGCACACAGAGAGCCAGCAAAAGACCAAGGGACCGAACAGCTCAGCGCGAACGGTCTTCACCTTTGTTTGTTTTTTTTTTTTTTATTTATTTATTTTTGTGAACAAGTGTCCGTATAACAAAATGCTATTAAAAAGAATAGAAAAGTTTTAGACAATTTTGTTTTTAAATCGCAACTAAACGTTTAACGATTTGCTTGCCTATGCGTGTGAATGTATACCAATACATACGCAAAAGACTTTTGTTCACTGACCACGGTTCATGGGACAACCGAAACAAAGCAGAATAGAAAAAAACGAGTTCGCTCTGAACGCGCGCGAGCTGATTCCAAGAACTCATGAACGGGTGCTCTCTGAGTCTTTTCGTAAAGAGTGAGAGAGAGACAGATATATGCAGACAATTAGAAACGGTCGACAGTTTTTTGCAAGCTCTGCTTTCTAGCTCTTCCTCAAAAACAGAATGGAAAGAGCCGCTGTAGTTGAAAGAGCCACTGCGTGCGGTATTAGAAATTCAAAAGATTTGCTTTTGCATTTTTAAAAGAGCAAAGTTTCAATTTTTTACTGAGATATGTCAGCTTTTAATGATTTCTGAAGGCCTAGAGAAGAAATGATAATATATGTACAATTTTCATAGGCATTAATGCTGAATGGGCATTTTAATAGGATCCGTACAATTATTTAGCCAATGGAAGTTTTGTTGCCAATCCACATTGGCTAATCTTTTGTTACTTTAACCAAGTCAGGCCCATGAGTAAAGATGCAAAAGCTTTACTGCTTACTGCACTTATTTCCTTCTATTATTTTCCAAGACCAGTTAAGTTGGAAATTTGAATTTGATTATTTTTTATAAAAATAAAGAGCTTTGTTTATTTACTGCATTTATTTACTGCAAATATTTAGTGCATTATTTATCCAAGGCTACTCAGGTTGGCAATTTGAATTTGATTCGTGTTGTCGTTGCTATTTTCACCCTGGACCTGGAGCAGACCCACGAAGAAGAGTACGGCGACAACACCAGCAAGGAACTTCATGGCTATCGGTTTGATTTGGAATAGGGTCGAAGATCTAGAGTGGTTGGAAGCTGGTGATGCTATAACTAAATCCCTTAAATTCATCTCTACTTATATAGGAAAATAGAAGGTAAAACCGGAACTGGAACTAATTTTGGCTTTTGGTTTGAGACGTTGCATATCAGAGTGTGATTATGAAATCCAAGTAAAAGGTCAAGTGTTCCTCAGAACTAAACACACAAATCAAAGTCCCTGAATGAAAAAAGAAAGCACTTATAATTTGTATAAGATTTAATTAGTATATCACCCTTTTCAAATTCTAATAATGGTTAACTAAACTTAGAATCCTTAAGCTAAAATCCAACTTTAGACACTGCCTGAGAAATAGATCTATTTTCAAAGCGTTTGGGTTATTCTTTGGTTATTCATTTAACTTAAAAAAGAGATACCCCTGACTTTTGTGTTGAAAATAAGAAACAATATTTTGAAAAATGCAACTTTAAAATCATATATTTCCTATTTAACTCTTGATAAATACTAAAAACCATGTGTATTGTGGTAGATATACTTCATCACTATGCCGGTCGTAATCCCAAGAATTTCGTGAGAGTGGGACATCCGCTGGCTGTAGTTTTGGGACTGTCGACCTCTGTCCTTTTGTTTTTGGTGCAAATGCTGCATGTGGCGCCACAGCTGCTTAGCGAAGTGTTGTGCAAGCTGTACTGGATACTGGCCATCTTCATAATGTACAATATCCTGGGGAACATGTTGGCCTGCCACCGTGCCACATCCTCGGTGGCTAGTCTGCCCGAGGAGAGGCAAGTGCCAGCTGCGGAAGAGAAGCATCTGTGGCAGCATTGTGATTTGTGCCAGAAGCTGGCACCCCCCAGATCCTGGCATTGCAAGCTGTGTGAGTGTTGCATTTTGAAGCGGGACCATCACTGCATCTTCACGGCCGCCTGCATCGGACACAATAACCATCGGTACTTCTTCTGGTTCACGTTCTATGCGGCATTGGGAACTGGCATGTGTCTCGTCAGCACCTTTGTATTATTAGTAAGGAATCTATTGGTTTTGCAACTCATTAATTTTTCCACCTTCTTGGACACCTTACTGTTCTCCATTACCCTATTTTCCTGGGTAGCAGCTGTCATCATGTTTGCATTCCAAATACATGTTGTCTATCTGAACACTTCGTACTATCAAATCCTAGATCGCAGCTACGATTTGGGTGTGAGATCGAACTGCAGGATTATAATGGGAGAGAGAGGTCTGTGGACCTTCTTATCGCCTTCCATAAAGAGTCCCTTGCCACACGACGGCACCAAATGGCAGTTGAAACGGAGCACATGAGTAATTATCTATCAAATATTTATCTAAATTTTTATTTATTAAGGAAAATAATAAATTGAAATGTTATTGTGTGAAACAAGTCCTTATTTGTACAACAACATTTGTAGTAATTATTTTCAACCTTTGAAAAAAACCTGACATTTACATTTCACTATGACTAGCATATCGAATTTATTTTTTAAGGTCAGCACTTACGTGGTTAGCACTTACGTCAGCCACCGGCTTGGGGCCCTAAATAACCGCATCCTGAACTATTGTGATCCCCACAACTGGGCCAACAACTCGCTCGAGTAAAGAATTCCTTTTACAATTCCCAAGGTAAATTAAAGACCCCAATTAATTTCTATAAAAATCCAAGAAGCTCTTCCATTTTTAATCATTATTGTCAAGAGCAAAACCAAGCAGCCTAACAGACAGACAAGACACCACCTATAGCTATTAATTTTTAAAACCGAATTAGATTTCTGATTTATACCGTTGCAGACTAATTGTCTGCTTGAATATTCATAATAAATTCGGAGAGCTTTTACAAATCATCACAGTGTTTCATGAAGAACTAATTAATTGTTGCCAAATATGTAAAGGCAAAGTAAATAGCCAAAGGCAATTTCTGACTGGGCATTATTAACATTTTGGGGAGTATCCCGCAGCGCTTTCAAGTTTTGTATAAATATTTTCGCATCATTAAATAGCCAGCCGCCAGACGTTGCTTTATTTATGCAAAACACAATTTCTCAATTTGTTTAAAACCCCGCCAGCCACTGGCATATACACATCTATATTCAAAGCATTTTAGAGGCCACAGACCCCGAGTGCATCCCGGATTGGGCAGGAGCTGAAAGAACTAATGCACAAATTTATTGTGCCTTTTGGCACTGCCGGCAACAGCTGCTCCATATTATGGCTGACACCCAGAACTCCGTCCTGCAAAGGGGCAGAAAAATAAAGAAGCGAAAAAAAGGACTCACACATGTGTGTTTTTGGGAGAGTGTGCCTCCTGCTCAGTTTTATCTGGTGCGCTGCACGCGGCACATTTGCATATTTTGTGCACAGGGAGGAGCTGGCTTTTTATTTTATTTTTATTAATGCGAAAAATGTAATTTCAAGCATTTGCAACTGCAGCAGGCCCTCACGGGCCACAGGACGACGACAACAGTCAGCCCAGCGGAAAAAAATTGGCATGGGGAAAATTGCAAAAATTTCATAGAAGCCAAACAAAAAGTCAAATTCATTTTAAAAAGCAAGGGACGGGGAATGGATAATACGAGTGAATTTTAAAATATTCTAATCTATTTTTAGTAAAAATTAAAGGTGAAATAATCAATGCAATTTTTATGATTCTTTATAAATTTATTACATAAAAATTTCGATTATTTTTTTTAATATTTTATATTGGACTTATCGTCTTAATAAACCTAAAGCTTTTAGTAGCCGCCATTAAGTAATATTTCCTCACAAAGATTAGTTATCTTGTAATGTTTCTCCATGGAAATTGCAGTCCTAGAACACCAAAATTCATAACAATTACGAATGCAATCAAAACACTTGATTAGGTTTTTGGCTTTTAGTCTCGGTCTGCCTGCCTCGAGCTTCCCCCTTTCCAGCTTTCGTTTGTGTCATGTGTCCACTGGGTCAGATGAAATTCGGCTTCTTCGTTGTTACTTTCATTTGCATTTGTCACGCTCGTTAGACATCCGGAATTCCCATTGGGAAATACGTAGTTTTTCCGATATCCAATGACAGCCACGTGACTGGCATCCAGCACAAGGACAAAACAAAAACTAAAGCCCAGCGAAGCTCACTCAAGTAGTGCTTACTAAGCTAAAAACTTCTCTTGAAATGTATTTTTTTAAACTAATGCCCAAGCGACAACAACGACGGCTCAGAAAGAAGCTCACTCTCAGTCCGGCAGCTCATAAATAAATATAAAAATTACTGTAATAGTTTTCAGCTTTTGGTTTCACTTGGCAACGGGCAATGCATAAATACCGAAGAAGAGCTCTCGGGGCTGAAATCCTTTGGCTTTATCTAAGCACTGGTAATAGGATGAAACCAATGTCCGACTTGCTCTCGGTTGCAATGCGGCTGCCAGCAACAAGGACTCGGTGCAAAAATAAAAAAAGGAAAAAGGAAGAATGAAGAAATCTTTCCTGGCAAAATTGCAAAATATACAGAATTCCAGAAATACAATTCAACTTGTTTTAATAAAATAAAAACAAAAGGCTAACAAGTAACAGAAAGATCTCTACAAAGTTATATTTGAAATCATCAAAAGAATACTCTCAGTATTTATTATTTAAAATGAACAAATGCAAACAGACACAAAAACCCTATACATTGCATGAAAATCTAAATGAAACGAAATGTTACCTGAATATTTCAACAAAATACAACGAGAGCTGGCAGTTCACCCAAACCCTTTACAAAAAAGAAAATGTTATTCCACAGCTGAATTCAAAATTTGCTACAAATTGAAGCCATACCCACATACCTGTATGCATGGAAAAATACAATCTAAAATTTAAATGAAACTCCCAAAACGACTTGATTAAATTTCAACAATGATTGCCCAACCCCAAATGTATGCCGTGGCACATTGAAATTTTACGAATGAGTGCCCCGAAATGCAGCCACGTATTTGCATTATGATTATGATGGTTGCAATGCACAGAAAACAACAGAAACAGAATAAGGAAAGTGAAAGGGGAACGGGAACGGAAACGGGAACCTGAAAATATAAAGCCAAATATTTTTGTGGCTACACAAGGAAGTGGCCAAAAGCGCACTTTTCATAATCTCTTGCATTTTATGGCGTCGGGCGTCGGGAAACAAGCAGCCAAACGGGCTCCCAGAGCCAACCGAAAATTCAAATGAATAGCAAATTTGCGGCACACGCTTCGCGCAATGCCACAAAGGCTTTTACCAAAAATTCCCCTACTGTCCCTACAGCGTCTCTCAGCCGGGAAAATCAAATCCGCCTAACCCCATCCGGTCTTGTCTGCGGAAACAGCTGTTTCCTTTACACAGACACAACCCCAGACTCCCGCTCCCTACGGATGCCCTCAAAATTATTATTACATTTTATGCCAATTCAACGAATTTTCCATGTGCATTGACTACGATTCTTAAGTTTTCCTCGGCTTAATTAAAGCCAGAAGAACAAAAAAGTATATAGGAAACATAAATTAAAACTGCGGCACCGCAAGTATGCCACAAAAATGAAGTTTTAAAATCTTGATGACTCAACTTTGCAGTTGTTTGTTTGCTGGCTGCACAGGAAGTTAATATTTTTGCAATTTCGCCAGAGTTTAATTTAAAAGAGGATCCAAATCCGAATGTAGTTCGCAACTAGAGATACCCTAAGATATTGTAGCGTGGAGAAAATTAAAATTTAGGTCTAGCGTAAGCTGTGAAAAATGTAAATTATATTAAATATACAAAATTTTTAACTGAATAATTATATTTTTATCTATTTTATATACCGCCAAAGCACCTCCAACTAAAACAATAACCTCCGAGAGAGTATAGAGGAACACAAAGTAGTAAAAATGAGAACGCAGGCCAAGCCATGAAATGTTCGTTCAGGGGAAAATAAATGAGCTCCTGGCCACGGATCTTAAAGTTGGAAACGACGATGCGAGGCGATGAGAGGCGGAGGCAAAGGCAATGGCGACTCTTCGCTAATTTTGTATGCAGCCCACACAAATCTTGTCATTATTAAACGCTGGCAGGCGGCGGCTCTCTCCGGTCTGCAGTCTCCAGTCTGCGCCAGAATTCAACTGGACTTTGCAGCGGCCGAACTGGTGTCTGCTTTTTGCTCGTTTGATTTGCTCCATTAATTTTGAGCGGAGTTTTGGCCCCGGGGAAAGTTCTGTGACAGCGGGCAACAGCCGGATCCTGTTGGGCCCGTTGATTTGTGTGGCGCTTTTCTGGGTGATTAAGTCATTCATCAGGCGGCGGTGATGGTGATGGTGAAGGCGACGCCGGTTACTAAGTAGAAAAAGCAAACCATTTTCTTTAACGCGGTTTTCTAATGAAGCGTCCTGCCGAATAATTAGAGGTTGTGTTCTGAGTCCTGGCCCGCCTCCCGTGGCTTATCTAGCTGCCAAATATTTCCACTCACTTTTTTCAATTAAAAAGTTTCGCCTTTGTCATGGCTACGCAATAAATATCCTGGCTTGGCGGGGCCATGCGGCGTATGCGTAATAAGCATACAATGATTGGGCACACAGAGCCAGACCTAAGCTCATTTAATTGGTATTAATAATGGTCCTGGACAAAGGACCAAGCTGTTGCCGCGCAACCAGACAGGGGGAAGAGGCGGAGGGATTTGAGCGGAAATGAGCTCTACACTGAGAATAAAAGTTAAAGGGAAATTAAAAGTATTTTAGTAAGTAAAAGTAAGATATGATATATCGAAAGAAATATTTAAATCAAATTTTATAAAAGTATTTTCTAAAGAATAAAAAGTTTACCAATTGAAACCCTCGGTTTCTTTTGAATAGAAAATATTTATCTATATATATTTTTTTTAATTTCAGCTTCCCCTTTTTCCAAGTGTTCTTTGGGTGACTGAGCGGTGGGTGGCCGAGCATCTGTCAAGGTCATCGCTAAGTAGTTTAGTTCTGACATTGGCATGCTCAGCAGTGCAAATGCCTTGATAAACGTTGCAAGCGAATCGTTGGCAGTAATTTTATAGCTCGCAGCATATTTATTTTGCAGAAAAGGGCGAGAGAGCTTCTTGGAAAGGGGTTTTCCCATTCTATTTTTGCCTTTCATTGCTCCACTGGGTGGGGTGGGGATTTCAGCTTCTTTGTAAGCAAATTTTCTTATTTATTTGTAAAAACTTTAAAGGAAGAAAAACCATCGATTTAACAGAAATCTCAAGTGCTGCAAATTAAGTTTACAATTTATCGCTAGAGGGGCAGAGAGTTGATTGTGATTTTAAGGCAATGCCAGGATATTTCTTGTAATTATACTCTAATAATTATTTGTAAGATATATTTGAATAGATGTTAATAATACTCTTTGGTTGCTCTTCCCTCCAGCATAATCCCCATCAAACCCACTTTTTGACACCAGCATGAAAATGGGGAAGAAAGGAAGCCCCTGCTGGCATCCGCGCCAAGTGTAAGCTTACATTTCTGGACACTTTATGGTAAAGTATTATGACACATAGCAAATAGTTGAGGGGAAGTAAGTATTTCGCTATTTTACACCTCTCTCTGCAAGTGGGAACGTATTCATTTCCGAGCTGCTAGTTGATTCCTTTTTTTTTGTGACATTTCGTGGCACTTTGTTGTCTTGTTTGTCCTAGTTTGTTCCGCTTGTCAGTCGTCCTCCGTTGTTCTGTTCTCGTCCTGTTTTCATTATTAATACGCCGACTGCCTTTTGTTTGGCGCCCTCGCCTTCAGCCAGCAGCCGCCCACCTTTCGACCGACTTTCACCCGCTTTTCATTCTTTTCTACTTGGGAATTTGAGGAGCCAAGTTGCCTTGCCTCGTATTCGTGTATTCGTGTTAGTGACAGAAATTATTCTTGTTGACACATAAAAATTGTTTAACCCTTTTTTTGGTCATGGCATGAAAAATGATAGCAAATGATAAAATGTTTTGGTACGTGGGGGTCACTGAGGAAAATGTATAACTAAAACGGAAAATTAAATATTATTTGATAAGTATTTTATAAATATTAATGTTGAATATAGGCCTTAAACATATTTAAAAATATTTATTATAATTATACATATTAAGTAGTTAGAAAAACGAGTACCTTTTCTCTCTGTTTATGACTGTTTTTAAGCATTTGGCCAAAACATTTCCCAGACATTGATGTATTTGGGTCAGACGCTAGCAGCATTGCCTGGTATAAACTTACCCAAAAAAAAGGAAACCCAGAAAAATGGTAAGGATATGCGAATGTATATATGTATAAGCTGGCAACGCCCGCTTTCCGGCTCATTAACATGGTGAAAATTTGCATAGTTAATTGCTTTTTAATTGTTGTGTTTGGAATTTTCAATTGCAGGCGAAATATTTATATATATACACATTATTTTCGGAGGGTTCGGGTTCATTCCTTAAGCTTGGCACGTTTTATGGCTAAAATTTCTTTATTTTGTGCGTGGGCTGTGCCCCATTAGGCAAATGGAGTTTGCAGCTTGGCTAATGAAGCATAGTTTTGAGATTTGCCACGCCCCCCTAGCACCCCCCCTCATCCCACTCAGACAGACTTCAATTAGCCTGCCAGCAGCAATGGCTGAATTTTTATTTCGCTCGCTGTTTTGTTTTTAAGCATTTTTCCCCCGTTTTTTTATTTTGTGGGTTGCCTTTTGCGGTCATTAAAACTAATGGCAGTCCGGTGGTGCTCGCTGGCTTTAAAAATCCCACACTTGCCCTCGGGCCGAATGAACCGGGACCAACCGGATATATCATTTGACCAGAAAGCCAAACAAATAAACTCTTGCACACACGCACACAGCGAGAGGGAGAGTCAGGTCAAAACCGAAGGGAAACAACAAAAAAAAATCTAGCAAAAAAGGAGCCCAAAGTTTTGTTGGCTCGCATGCGGTCACAAAAGAGCAGTAAATTAAAATTTACTCGACATGAAATTGAAGCGGCACAGAGTCGTTGCCTGCCACCCTTTCCCATTTTCCATTTCCCACCATTTTTGACTGGGAAAATTCATTCATTTTCGGTGCACTTGCCTGTACGAAAGATGGTGGCCATGGGGCAACGCTTGGTATCCTTTCAGTCTGATTGTAAATGCATTTCCCCGACTGAAATATCAGAGGAAAAAGCCATAAATAAATATTAATACTTTTTGCCACAACAAATAAAAGTAACTGGGCTATTAATTTCTGATAAGATTACAGTATTATTACCTTGAAAATTCATTTAAAATCGATTTGTTGATACTATATCGGTATTTCACAGGAAAGTCGATTTATAAATCCCATTTAAGTATCGAAAGACTGTATAATATGTCGGAACAATGTAATGGAAAAGAGACAAATAAAAATAAATAATATTAAATAGCACTTTTCGACTTTTCCTCGATATCTAATCATAGCTTACAATAGCTCATTCCCTCATTCGTTGTGGCCCTTCCCCGGAATTCCCAAGGATCACCGCCTGCAGTCCGAGGCAGACCGCTTGCTGACTGCACTTCATTTTGCTCCGTCTCCGGTTTGTTTTTCCGCCAGTTTGGCCTGCGGTGGCCTGTGCCCCGAAGGGTCTCGTATTTTACGTGGTCAAAGTTGTACGTTCCGGCGAACTACTGACATGCAAAGCAGATTCTGGCCAAAACAAAAATTCGAGTCAGGGCCACTTTGCAGTCGACACGCGTGCAGAGATTAAATGGGTAACAAAAAATCGGTATAGCCTGCGGCAGTGGTCAGGCATACAAAAAAAACCAAACTATTTTAAAGAGCTCCAATCAATTATCAAGTTGAGTCAGTCCACTGGTCGCTGTTACCACAATTTCCCGTTAAGCGACAATTTCCGCAGCGATTATTCAATGTCAACTAAAAAGTTACAAAACCGTTCGAAAAACCAGCAAAAAGCAATTAAAAGCAGCTGCTGCCCAGCTGCCACGCCCTACTTGCACCCCACTGTGTCCCCTCCCCAAAAACTGCATGTTTATTTTATGTGGCAAAATATGTTTTCTTTTTGGGGCGAAATATTTATGTAAGCTCTGCTGCAGTTTATTTGTCAAGCCGGACATGCAGATGTCGGAGGTCCTGCCGGAGGATTAGATGGATTTATCGCACTGTGACAAATATATATTGTGTAAATCATTTCGATGGCAACATTTTCAGGAGTCTTTGCTGGTACTGCAACGTGTAAAATTTATCGCAAGCTCAAAATGAATTAAATATGCCTTCTGTGTGCAGATAAAAAAAAGTAGAGTGTGGGGTTATTGGCTTTGGCATGTAGTTTTTATTCAATTACATGAGAAAATATATGAGAGTTTGGAAAAAGGTAAAATACATCTTTTGCCAAGGAATTAAACTGATAGCAGCTGAATAGTTAAATCGTTGTTTTTAAGATACAGTTCAAATTTTGAATTTGATAATAAATTATACAAAGCTCTCCGATATCTGTGTTATTCTAATTTCTCTTCTGTGAATATTTGAACTTAAGAATAGAAAATATACAAATTTTAATCAACAATTTTGAGCTAACCTTGTGGCAGACACTATAATCCAATCCAATGTAACCCAGTTAACATAAACCACTAAACCTAATTGCACACCCAGCTTTTGCCACATCTGGCTCAATTCAAAGCACTCGAAATATAATGTAAATTATGCTGACTATATAAATTTTTATATTTTTACTAAATTGCAGTTCAGCTTGGCTGTCAAAAACAAAAATTGATTGACTACATTTGGCCGGGGGCATGACTTAATTAGCTGCAGCTCATCCACAGCTCTCGATAAATATGAATTAGCTTTAGTCCCTGACCCGCGCCAGGGCCTTCCCCTCCCGCACAGAAGCTGTGGCCAAACGGCAGCAGCAGGATTTGCTGGCAAATGAAATTTCCTCCGTTTTACAGCCAAACTGCAGCAGCTTGTTGGAGTTAATTGAATTGTTGTTTCGCCTGGGCCCTAGATATTGCCGGCGCACATATACACCATATATTAGTTATTGATTTCCCACAGGTTGCGATATGTGTTTAATGGCAATCAACTCGAAATGAGAAACGGGAAATGCAGGCAATGAAAATGCTGAGCCCATGTTTCAATCAATTGGAAAACATGGAAGTTGGGATGAAGCAAGGGGTTAGGGGGGGTGCATATATCAAGAGAAAAAATTCGATAGGATGTATTGATAAAAAATATTTAAACTTTAATGGATTGAAATTTGAAATATAGAAAAATATATGGACATTTTTGGAATATTACATTATTACCCATATTTACCCTTGCTTTAAGAACAATTTTATTAAGTTTTGGCTTTACCGATGTGATATCGTACGTTTTAAAGAAACAAAACTATATATTACTCATTTTAAGATCAACTCTAATTATTTTCAAGCTTGATCCTGATTTTATTCTACATATTCAATACATTTTATAGACTTTATAAAGTGTTTTTCGCACGAGCATGTCTACATTTTAATTGTAGTTGCTCGTTAAGCTACAGTACCAACGTCAAGGCGTTTATTTAACAATGATTTCATAGAAAATTTAACAATGCTTGGTTTGACAAAATAGAAAATGAAAGATAGAAAACCCAACTCACATGCAGGGGCTAGAAATATGCTCCCAGGACATAAAACGGGCTCAACGGCTTATGTGATTTCGAACATGCTGGAGATGGTATGAGATGGGATGCAAGATTTAATGATTGTAAAGCTCTTGCTGATCCTGGGCAGAACCATCTGCTGTGGCCCCTGAAGCTTCGTCCTGGGCCTGCGCAGCGGCCTCATCGGCGTAGTCATCGTAGGACTCATTGGGATCCTCTACAGCGCCCACGTACTCATCGTCGTCGCTATAGCTGTCGTAGAGCTGATCCTCGCCATCCAAATCAATGAGCAGGCGCCGCAGATAACGCAGTTCGTCGTGGGCACGGGAGACTTTGCGCTCCAAAGCCTTCATTTGGGCCTGAGAGCAGTGTGGTTCTTTATTAACATTTACGAGTTTTCCCCCAAAAACCGCAATAGCAAACCTGTGGAATCAGCGGACATCCTAGGGCATGCAGAATGTACATCAGGGGATCCGCAGGCGGCGGATCCATCGCGGACATTTGCTTCAATATCTCCAGCAGCTTCGGCAAAATCCCCTTTTCCGTCAGATAGTCCATGTACTCAACTTCTTTCTCCGTCATTTTGGGTTATTTAAAGCGTGTAGTTACCGAAATTTTGAGAAAAAACAGAAAATTTACGAATTTTTTAAGCGAAAACTTTTTTCCCGGGAATAACTGTAAACGCAGGGATGCTTTGGGGCCAGCCTCTATCGATAATTTTCGGTACCAGCGAAGTTACAGGGTTTTTACATCAGGGGGCGCGTTTGCATAAAATACCGAATTCTAAAGAATATGGTATGGTATTAATTGACATACTGAAATAGTATATGGTATTTTGGGAAATCGAAGTGTGCTGGTATTTATTTTCCGGCCGGCTGGTATTTCCCTTCGCTACCGGTGCTGTCACACTGAACACAACAAATATAGTCAAAATTCGAAGGGATAATTCAAGTTATATATAGCACCGACTTTCAGCGAAATGGAGAAACTAAGCAAAGCCAAGAAGGTGGCGCGCGAGGAGAAGCAGCGCGACCAGAAGCTCGAGGAGCTGGTGAGTTTCGGTCCAAGTAGAAATCCAGAAAAGCAACCATGCCGTTACAACCGGCGTTGCAATGGAAACGGCTATAAATAAATCGGGTTCTCATGGCTGTATTCCCCGTTCCGCCAGGTGCTAAAGTCCCTCGAGGAGTGCCCCTCCACCGAGGACAAGGTGAAGTTTCTGCTGCAGCGCCATGTGGACAGCGAGAAGAATGTCAGCCGGCTGACATCGGACCTCCGGGTGCTGCAGCGCCAAATGGAGAGCCAGCAGCGGGAGAAGGAGCAGATGCAGCGCGACCTTAACAAGAGCGTCCTCATGCGCGACAAGCTGCAGGAGGTGTGCCGCGAACAGCAGCGCATCATCAAGTCGGTGAAGAACGAGAGCCTGCTCCAGATCAAGGTCGAGGAGGAGCGACGCAAGGAGAGCCAGACCAAGTTTCAGTCCTCGCTCAGCGAGGTCCAGAAGTCGCTGGCCAAGAACAACGAGGAGAACATGAAGTTGCGCGATTACAACATCGAGATGACCAAAAAGTAAGAGGCAACCTCATGGCGCATGCCGCCGCCGCACGCCCCACTGCTGCTCCGTCTAAATATAGACACTGCATATATAGACACTCACACTATGCTTTCCGATCTGCGGTAACCATCTGGCCTCCTCCCGTTTTAGGTTAAAGCTGCTGGCCGAACAGTACCAGACGCGGGAGCAGCACCTGGAGAAGCTCAACGAACAGGTGCAGCTTGAGTCGCAGCTGCACCAGGCCAAGCTCAGCAAGGCCCAGGTGGAGGCGGCCATGGAGAAGGAGATACTTAAGAAGTGAGTAGCTAAAAGCGATAAAAATCCTCTAAAACTCACAAACATGTCTTTCAGGGAGAACCAAATTGGCTTGGAGAAGCTGCTGCAGGCGCAGCGAGCCATCAAAGATCTCACCGAACGGGAACACCAGCTGAAGGAGCAGCTAAACATTTACACGGCCAAGTACGATGACTTCCAGCAGTCTCTGCAGAAGTCCAACGAGGTCTTTGGCAGCTACAAACAGGAGCTGGAGAAGATGTCCAAGCACACAAAGAAGATTGAAAAAGAGGCTCTGGGCTGGCGTCAGAAGTACGAGAAGGCCAATGCCATGGTTATTGATCTGGCCACCGAGAAGCAGGTGCAAACCCAGCACTCTGATCGTCTGCAAAAACAGATCCAGCAGCTGCAGAAGCTACTCCGTGCCCTCCAGCAGGAGCGCACTGCGCTGCACAAGGCCCTCAGAGATAATGAGATTGAAATCCCAGCTCTGCCCCAGTTGCCGCCCGAACCAGAGCCGGTGGTCGTAAAGCCCGCCAGTGCGGATACGGCCAAGATGGAAATGATGACACGGAACTGCGCGGAACTCAAGCAGACACTGGCCAACCTCCAGAGTCAAATGAAACTGCTCACAACCACCGAATCGAAAGCAGCCACCGAGGAGAAGAACAAGGCTGCCGCCGCCGAGGAGCAGCGGCAGGCGAACAATGCCAAGAAGAATAGGCTGAAGAAGGAGAAGAAATCAAAGGCTAAGGCAGCGGCAGCAGCAGCCGCCGCTTCCTCCTCTTCCACACCGAGTGAGGAACAAAATGGGATTCAGGAATCCACAGTTTCCGACTCGAATGTAGAAATCGAAGCAGCTGGCGATGGACCCAATGTCAAGAAGACTCAGGAGCAGACCATTCAGACGGCTCCAGAGGCAAAGGAAACCATTGGCGATGCCGCTGAAGCCACCTCCTTTGATGTAAACGAAGTGCCTGCCCTTATCGATGCCAATGCAGACTAAACCCTGCCGACTGTTCGATTGTACTCCCATTTAGGAAGGGATTTAAGCCTTCCATTCAATGCATTTCATGTCATTCATGTCTCAACACAAAATTGTCAACAATTATAATCAACATGAACATAATTTTTGTACTAGTTATTTATTGTATTTTGTAAATTGTATTTATTTTATGGAGTGTCAACGGTGATCGCGTGTTGCTGTTAAAACAAATTGAGTAAATCGTGTTTCCTGCAACCAAAAAACTTTATGTTTTTCTAAAAGGGGCAAAGTTTATATTTTTAAGTTTCTTTTAATTTTTAAAAATGTGATATATCAAAGGTTTTATATTTTGTATATGATAATGAGCGCGATGTCTTACTAGATACTATATAAATATTTAGAATATATTATATTTTTCTATTTTCTAAAAACCTTAAAATTATATTAATCGAATTTACATAGTTAGTATTTTATAACTTCCGATTAAACTAAAAATAACGAATTTATATGCTGTATAGCAAGGTGAAGTAATAATTTAATATAGTGTAAATATTTCTGATCCAACAAAAATTTTACTTATTGATTTTCACAAGCTTTTTCGTTAAATAATTTATATTTTTAATAATCTTATCTATTTAATCCTCAAAAATCTATTATGAAAAATAAGCAACGTTTGTTCTATGGAAAACTGTTAAAATTTAAAAACATTGCATAATTTGGAAGGTACAGATATTCCTATTTCCTTCCTTCTTTATTTTTCCTTAGGTACCCTGCATACTTTCTCATATTTGTGCTTTTATAGCTCAATTAGTTTCAAGTACTTAAGATATGTTCAAGTGTAAAAGTGACCGACATTCCGTAGTCGTGTTTCTATGGCCAGCGTCAGTGGTGTGGGTCCTCGAGAAATCGCACAAGCTCGATGGCCGTGAGTTGCTTTCGTCACGGCGGGTGATGCCGCCTCAGTGTCTGGCGTTGCATGCAACACATTGCAATGCAAACGGGCCGAGTGGGTGGTAGTGGTGGTGAGTGGTAGTGGTTCGTGGTCAGGGTCGTTATAATTGCGCCTTAATTATTTTCAACACGCAGCTGTCATTTTTGCCGGGCCCCAGATTTCCGCTATAAAATATTCAAGACGCATGCAACGTGGCGTATGCGTAACGCCAACAGTTGGCAGCGGTCACTCGGTGTGCTTGCGTGTGTGTGTGTGTGTGCTTGAGGGTGTTGAAATAAAGCCATTTAAGCCACAAAGATAATTACAGAAATTAATTTAAATTGCATAAAGAGCTGCATATGAAAAAAGGGTCAGTAATGAGAGTCACCAAGGTCTCAACGGATTGCTACCCCCACTTTACCAGGTCTCAACTATGCCTCGTTGAGTGCTGTAAGGCAAGTCAAAGTAATTTCAAATTTAATTAAAAATATTCAAGTTGGGAAACGAATTAAGAATAATATTTATACGAAACTTTTACCCTGAAATCCCAGCGCCTGATGGCCCATTAAGCGGTATTAAAAGTGTCTTCGCCAGAACCCGAAAAGTTTCGGGGCAACAACAAGAACAGCAACACTTGTGCATATTTCACACCCTTACACATACACACACTAGCATACAAGAATGTGCGCACATTTCGCAGGCAATGAGCTTTTGAACATTTAATGAGTTAATACGCTAAATTTGAAAGCCGCGCAAGCGGGCGCCAAGTGCTCCTAACACTTGTCCTCCTCACCAGGCCAAGTTGCCCATTTGCAAACTTAAAAAATTGAGAATGGGAAAGGGAAAGCCAGGAAGTCAAATTTCACGCTAAAAAAAAATAAGAAAATATATAGAAAAATATTGGTGAAATATAAAAAGAAAAACTCCATATTTAAACTTTATTTAAACATAATTTAGATTACTATTTTGATAAAAGTTGTCCTAAGGAAAAAATTAGTCTCTTTTTAATACAATTCTTTCAGTTTCCAGTAAGAAAACTTTCATACCCAGTCTTAAGAGTTGATCACTGAATTTGTACTTGGGAATTTTAGGGGCAGTGTTTACCACAGCTTACTCTTTAAGGAGAGTAGGTTCTTTAGGACAAAAAGTATTCTATAAAAGTATAAATCTATAAAAGTATACATTTTTTAACTTGAAATATCATGAAATATTTAAAATTAAACTGGAATATATTTTTGCATTCAAAAAATCACAATGTTCGAATCTAAGAAATTTCCCAATTTTTCTCCCAGTGCACTCACACACCATACCCATGCAAAACACACTAAGCACTTGTCATTTGGGCTGTAAAACCTTCCACGTCCGTTCGTTGGTGAAAAACACTGCAAATGCCCAACACACGAGCATATGCGAAACAGCAGCAACGAAGGCGTCAGTTTCCGGAAGGAATGGGATCGGGTGGCAAGTGGCGGCGGGGCATCGTGTTCATCCTTAAACTCATGGGTGTCATTGCTCACAGGACCTGGCTCTCAGCCCGCAGGATAACAGCGGCGTAACAGTAAAGTCATTTGGGAACCAGAAATGTTAAGGCTGCCAGACTGCTTGACTCGGTGTGTTAAAGGACAACGACAACTAACACGACGAGGACGACAACGAGGACCACGACGGAGAGAGCACGATGTGTGGCAATATTTTTGACAGCCAATTGTGCGGGTTGAGCAAGATGAATGGGCGATAACGGCACAGTGGGACTCTTGTAAGCAAGAAGGCTAAGCAATTTATAGGTTAAAATTATTAATTAAATTCGTAAAATTAACTTGACTCTATTTTGAAGATACGAAATAAATGAAACCTTTAAAAAAATCTAATATTTATACTAGGGATGTACATTTATCGTTAGGAAAAGTCCGATATTGGTCAATTTATCTTGTTTAAAACATTAATTACATTTTTGGGAATTTTGGAATTTTATTCTAAATAGCCCATAGTTGACATAAGTTTTTAAAGAAGAAAATGATAAAAGTATACATTGTTTTCACGGACGACATCATTTAAATATACCTACCTGTATTTAAAAGCTTAATTATTTGAAAGGTTTTTCCAAATATCACTCATACGCCATGTACTCCCTTACTCAACATTTATTTCAGTTTTTCGATAAGGTTTTCCCACTGTAACCACCGAAGAGCTTGCCCACCCGCACACCCTAGCGTGTGTGCGCACCCACTCGCGGCTCCAGCTGCTGCCGTCGTCCTCCGCTGGTTCTCTCGCTTTCCGTTCTCTCCGGCAGCACTCCGGCACTCTCTCCGTCCGGATGCGTGAGGTGAGAGCATTCGGCGTTGCGGCGGCGGAGCCTGCGAAGACTTCTTTGGCCAAAGCTGTGCTTAGTCGAATTTCGGTAACAGAAGCCATAGCGATAGCGGGATATTTTCCGACAAAGCCGAAGCAGGAGCCAGCCGAAAGGAAGGAAACCCGAAGCCGCGCTGCTGCTGCTGCTGGCAAACATTTTCCACTTCCATTTTCGCAGTCCTGTAATCAGTTGTGTATAGGACACTGGCGTGCGCGCGTCGAACGGTTTCTGGCATTGTTAATTTTGTGTGTGAGTGTGTGAAAAGTTTTTTGGGGGAAAACGCTGCGCGGTTTTGGCTGCTCCCCGAGTTTTTTTGTGCCTGATTTTTTATGGTAGCGATTGTTGCTGCTCTGACAGCTCAAGAAAATTGCCACGCAGAAAAAAAAAAGAAAATATTGCCGAATAAAAATTGTCACAAAAGTTGTTGGCCAAAAAGAAAAAAAGATTTGTGTTAGCCGAAAAGGCAGCCAAACAAGTTGGAGGAAATTTTCCAGCTACAGCTGCTGCCGCAGCCAACGTCGCTGTCGCAGCGCTGCCGCTGTGTCCGAGATAAAGGATATGCCCGGATCTAAAAGATACAGTTTTTCTTTGCTTTTTCGCAGGCTGCTTGGCATTTTCCACAGCGGCAACAACAATCGCCAACCAAAGAAGAATTTCGTCTGCCAGCCGAAAAAAAAGAAGAAATAATAAGAAAATGAAACATAAAGCCAGTGAGTGAGAGAGAGAGAGAAGAGAACGCCAAGAATGCAAAAATAAATGAATAAGACCCCCAGAAATCATTAACAAATTAAAACGAAACACGCAAGAAGAAGGGCCACAGGCAGGCAGCAAATAATAATATCGCCAAGAGGACGAAAAGTAGCCCTGAGTGAAGTGTTCCACGAGGAGCTGTGTTTGCGCTGGCATGCTTTGAGGTTAATACCACCCGTCACCCAGTCCTGTTCCCTCTCTGCTCCGCTCCCGCTTCTCCTTCTGCCGCTCCTGCCGCTCATCTCTGCCGCTGCCGCTGCCGTCACCATCAAAAGGCATCGAAGGTAAATATACGTTTGCGAGTGTGTATATATACGGCAAACAAACTAACCTACAAAGTAAACAAAAACGTAACGTTACAAATGCAAATTTTTCGCATTCAGACACACACACATACGCTTACTTGAGAACTATAAACAACAACTCATTTAACTGACGCCATGCCCCATAAAAAAAACAAAAGAAAACAATAGGAAAAACAACAAAGCTCAAGACTAGAACATAGAAAGGTGGAAAGCCAAACGCACGCTTCTAAAGCAATTTGTATAAAATTTTAATCGCATGCGATTTATTTGACTAGGCGCCAAAGCCACACACACACACACACACACATCAACGCATTTTTGCACGCACACATGAGCTGACGCCAACGCACACACACACACTCACCTGGAAAATGGCGAAAAGAAAGCCACAGCAGTCTCGACAATCTGTTTATTATTCGCGAAATTATTATGGAAATTATGCACGCATCCCCATTTGAAATTTTATGTTTGCACCCAAGTGCTAGAATATAACTAAAATTGATTGAATTAAAAGTTATATTTAATATCAAGAGGGGAAAATAGATTTTTTCTTACACTAAGAAAAGCAGGGGGTCATATTCTGTTATAGGAAAAACCATGTCCACTTAATAAATCTGCAAGGATCATGGAAAGTAAGGTTTATAATATTTTCAGTAAAGTTCTCTAATACTTTCCAAGGAAATTAAAAACATAATTTTATATTTATGTATATAGAAGAATTGGAAATCATTAAATTTTCTTAATATATATATATTTATGGAAAACGAATTACTACCTCTGCATAAAGCATTTTTAGTCGAGGATCAAT